TTTAATCATAAAAACCATCGTGGTGAGTCCAGCGATGGCCAGGGTAGCTACCACGGCAAACGCGGCGGCCATGCAGCTGCGATGGGCGCGGATGAAGCGGCCGGCAGTACGGTGGTCGTTCGCCCCGGCTTCTTCAACTCGGTCTGTTCAAAACATGCCATTGGATTCAGTTAATTGCCAAACCAACATTAGTCTATAAAGACGACAGGAATGAATAAGCAACGTAGTATTAAAGTGATGTAAATTTAACTATAATGTTTTATTTTATTTTTTATAATTTGAAAAAAAAATTTTTCCACTGTTTATTCAAATCATGGAGACAAGTACAAGTACATACACAAATATTTTTAACAAAAAACTTTTACAGCCATATCCCCAAAATACACGGACCAATCACAAAGACAGACACTAAAAATGATGTCTAAATCACTTAGACACAACAGGTCTTTAGACTGCCACAGATATCACAGATGAAGTTTCTTGACATTGTTGTAGAATGAAGCTTAACTGTGCAATAAAGGTTTGTTTGATTCATACCCTATTAAAGCCCATATAAATACTCATGTTAATCATGTTCACTTAAAGAGTCTTAAGGAGACATTAATTTCAGACTTTAAATATAATTAAGGGTTAATGTCCCGCCCCGAGGTGAATATGGTGTGATAAAGCCTTGTCAGTTGCTATAACCACAGAATAAAGCCACCAAGTGAGCGCAGCGAACGCGGTGGCTTTATGAGGTGGTTATAGCAACTGACAAGGCTTTATCACACCATATTCACCGAGAGAGGGCGGGACATTAACACTATTATCATATAGCTTACACGATAGCCTATCCAAACTGATGCAGTAAGTGACACAATGCACATGCTGAATGGAACATAGAACATAGTTCCATCTGGAGTCACCTGAGGTCACTGGGTAGAGTTCACGTTAACTGGGTCACAGGCAGGGAACATGTGTTCTTATGGGAGTCATTGGAACACAACTTAAGTTATTTTTGGATTTTTTAGAACTAGAGCCGTGTTCTATTGGGTCACCTGAGGTCATATGCGGGTGATTATTGGGTTTGTTTAATGTATGGATTGGGATGAATAAATACCCGATTTTGACTCTATTTGTGACATTACGGCGACATAAGGAATGTGGAATGGAACCTTCTGATTGGTCAATGTCACCTGGCTATATGATAATGTACTATAATGTGCCAAGTGCTTGCCGCGCTGATATGAGAATACTATTAGGTCTATCAGTCCGAAATATCAGCCCTGAATGGGCTGTCATACCCGAGCCAATAACAACAATTCGTAGGCCGTGTACAGATTTAACAGTCTCTCCTCGCCGATACAGTCATATCGGTGTATGACAAAGTGAAGTCTGTACATGATAGATTTGTTAAAAGAATAAGCCTCCTGTACAGGCCCCGCGGCGTGGGCGGAATGGAACCTACTCTCGGCGCCAATGTATGTAGGATTGCCAGCTATATTAAAATAATGCGTGAAAAACTCTTCCCCACCGCCGCGGGGCCTGCACAGGAGGCTATAAAAGAATGCCTGTGCTCAGTAGTACAACAACTAAAGAAACTGGGTGGATTTCCTCCACTGAAATGGCACAGAATGTACTTAGTAATTGGACTGCTCGACTGTCTACCAGAAGGCCCAAGAAACACAATCATTTAAACGCTACGGACGGGTGTAAGAGGGAAAGAAAATGGGAGTTTTACGTACGGAGAAGTTACGATGCGGTCACATATATTAGTCAAAGGCAGTCATAGAATTTTTAAGAGGTTGTGACAGAACCAACCAACCAACCAACCAACCAACCAACCAACCAGGATGTAAAACAGCGCTTATTCCGTACCAGAATTCTGAACGACGTATATGTACGACCATCACAAGAACTCCCTTAGTCTTATCAGAACTTACAGACAAGTAGCTTACCTGTGGTAGTGTCCGTTGTGTAAGGTGGTAAGTCGACCTGGGGTTCGCTTCGAATTCCCTCGCCCGGGCCCTCGGCAGTTTGCTCGAGCGGTGCCTCCTGTACTTGTAACACCGGCGCTGACGTCGACCGATTTTCTAGTTTGACCGCCTCGACGTCGTCTTCCATGTCCGAAGACGTTTCGAACCCTTCCCACCTGTTTTCGTAGTCGTTGTTGCCGTCTGAAGTACTCTGAGGCGACGGCGGCCCGCTGCTGGTTTGTTCGCCGCTGGACCCGGCAGCGAGTGGGGCACGGACGTGGTCTGCTTGCTCGAACATCTGTACCGTACTGGTTAAAAACTGGCGAGTGCCAACTTACAGACGGCAAGAGATGTACATAAATATGATATATGTTGTCATGATTGGTCTGACACATGTGCGTATGTACTGTCATTTTTTTGGACGTAAGGCCACACCGTATTAATTTTATGGATGACATCCACGCGCGCATTGATTTTCGCCTGTTCTAAAAAAAAGAAAAAAAAGATCACGTCCTCGGAGGCTCTAGCCTGGCTCTAGGCCTGGGTAGTCCATGGTAGTTAGTAACAATATGGAGCCGGTGGTAACCCTGGAGGACGGCACCCAGGCTACCGAAGCCCCACGACTCAAGAGCTCAGTACATACGTACAGTGCCGATTCACAAATTCCACAAATTGTCGCATACGTCACTATGTACTGCCGCAAATTCACAATACCAGCATTGTATTCCTGTGGTTTAGTAGCATTTTTATTTTTGGCCGGAATTTTTTTTTATTCACCCGCGCGCACTAGTTTGGGGGTCTTCAGAGGATGTCATCCATAAAATTAAGTCGGTGTGGCCTAAGTATGTCGCGTTGCCATGGCATTTTGCTCCTTGTACGTAGTAGACCAATTTGGCGAAGAGAAGTAGGTTGATTTATCCTTGGGATGAAAATAAACCCCGAGGTCTGAAAAGAATTGAAAACTGATGACTTAAGTTTTTCGTGAGTTTTGAAGCTTGCAGTTTCTAGTGTCGATCAGAATCTGATAGTGGCTCAAAAATTGGTAGAAATTCATCAAATACTGTAAATCTCATCGCAAATTGAGGTTGGACAAGCTGAGCTTGGTTACATTTTTTTAGCGCAGAGTGGGGACACAACCAACAGAATTGATGCATGAATATGAAAAAAAACAGACATAATTAAGCGTCAAGACGTCATAGAATATTGTCTATGTCTTTATTCATATCTTGTTCAAATTGCTGTGGCTTCTCGTTTCAGGTAACCACTGAGAAAGGAAACAAAATTTTACATATGTTGGAAATGTCATCAGTACAGTAGATCGGAAACCGCCCTGGATGCAAAATTCGTACCGTTTGTATGTTTATAATATGATGATTTGGAAGGAAAATGTGAGTGTTTATGTGTGTGTGTGGGGGGGGTATGTATTTGTATTTACAAGACTGATAAGCCTAGTGTTTAGGGATCGCGAGTTCTTTTCCCTAAACGTAGCAACTAATGATACGTTTCTTTTAGAAATGTGTGTACAACTCTCCTCACTCAGATGTAGGAACTTACACGGTCATCATACTCAGAAAATCTGTATCCTGTATATCTGTACATGAAACTGTATCTGTGCATGGATATTTGTATCTGTACATAAATCTGTATCTGATTGCAAATAAAAAGATCTCGAGTGATTGCCATAGACAGAGAGTCGTAGCAGATCACCGTTATGAGATATTATCATATAGCCTGTCTGTGTGGACCAATCACACGTCGTTATTCCTTTGGTTGCACGGCTCTAAATTTAAAGTAAGATTTAATTCTAATTGCCGAGTCTCTTACGACCTCTCCTCAACTTGCTGAGGACGAAAGAGCATCGAGCTGCTCGCTTACCAGCCAACTCCGGTGCCAGGGTGTTGAGCCAAATCCTTGAGCTGCCACATACGTGAGAGATCAGGTGTTTAGGACTAGGGTTAGGGTTAGGGTTAGGGTTAGGGTTAGGGTTAGGGTTGGTATTAGAGTTAGGGTCAGGGTTGGGATTGGTATTAGAGTTAGGGTTAAGGTTGTTGTTTTTTTTTATTCCAACATGTAATCACCAGACGTGGTGACGACACACTCAAGTTTTTTCAACTTATATTAATGCCGCCACCAACACAGGGGACAAATACATGACAGGACAATACTCATTTACACCTGAGCTAAGTGAGGAAAGTCGTGTAAAGTGCCTTTCCCAAGGGCACAAGATCGGTGGCATGTCAGGACTCGAACCCGAGACTCTAAGTTCCGAGTCGCGCACTCTGCCGCTACGCCACACGACCCCACTTAAGGTTGGTTAAGGTTGGTTTTAGAGTTAGGGTTAGGGTTGGTATTAGGGTTAGGGTTGGTATTAGAGTTAGGGTTAGGGTTAGGGTTGATGTTAGGGTTAGGGTTAGAGTTAGGGTTGGTATTAGAGTTAGCGTTTAGGCGGGTTAGAGTTGGCATCATTGTTTAAGGCTAGGGTTAGACTTGCGATTGGGGTTAGGTTAGTTTTAGTGTCCCACATCACGACCAAATCCCTCCCACCCCTTATTCGCATGTATACTGGAACCCCCCAGTAGTGTCGGAGTAAAGTATTTGGCAGGATCATGTACAATGTATACTTCCCTGTATATAGGACAGTATATATCCAGAGCTTTAGATAAAAGAAATCATATTATATCCGCCGACTGATGTACACTCAGTCATATATAGAACTCAAGACATGTACATTATCATGTAAGCCATGTTCCATATACATACATGTACTATATTACCTTTTTGAAATAGTATGTTATTTTCGATACATAGAACTTGTAGTCACTGTAGACGCGAGAGTAGATGTTAGCTAGATATGTAGTACTGAAGAGTTTGCCATTCATTGTAACGGTACCCGTTACAATTGTTGTGCAATAAAGATTGACTTGACTTGACTTGTATACTATGTACTATACGGGCTTAACACCGGGATGGACTTTGACCGGGGTCAATACGTACAAAGTTCACTCTACAGTTACGCCATTGCCACGGGCACACACAATTACGAATACCGCTGCCTTTTAACGTTATACATGAACAAAGACGTCAAACCAAGTTGACTGACAGTTGTTACTATTAGTCCGCTCAGGATGGCCCGAATTTTGTCACGTTCGGAGCTCAGGCAGTTGGCGGACTCACTAGTGCTGGACTGGAGTGACATGGCGTCTCATACCAAAGCAATGGTAACGTTTACGTTTCGTTTATGCCTTAGTCTCAATAGCAAGCAGGCTGGGGGCAATAGCAAGCAGGCTTTTTCCATCAATTTCACTCATAAAAGTAACTTGTCGAAGACCGCAGTATTAGATACTGAGAAGCTACATGCTGAATTAACTTTATTTGGCCAGAGATTTACAAAGTTTAAACGAATGACGAACTGTTCACATACATATTGTCAGGTCTAAACACCTGGTGATTGAGAAACTCTGTGAATTCGTATACGCATGTCTCAAGAGGAGAGAAGAAACTAGTAAGCTATTGTAAGCTTCAGAGTTAGATGAATTATAGTATACAGTAGCCGTTTGTTCTGTTTTTGTTCTTATGCAATTCCCTATGACTGTCATAGCCTATGTACTAGTAACTAGTATCATCCAATATGTTATATCATCCAGTGCATTTAGCCCGGCAGGGCATGAATATGCAATAAACCATAATTATGGGTTCACCACACCACGAAGTGGTGTGGTGAAACCATATTGCTTTTTCTGATGTTTCTTCTCCTTCTTCTCCTGCCATTTTTTAAATGGATTCAGCTTCTTCATTTTAGGGCCTAAGGTCCTGAAATTTGGTATGGAGGTACAGTGGGCTAATACCCCTAGGCGTTTTTTAAATTATTGTGATACAGGCTTTTAGAATGGTTTTATTTGAGTTTTTTGGCTGTATTATAGCTAATGTATTACTGTGTTAGTGTGCCATGTTTACCACGTCTGGGCATGAGTCATTACAATGGAATGCAGGGCATCAACCAATAGGCATGCAGCTTTCCTCTATACTTCTTGCTGATTGGCTGTTGGAATTTAACTTGATTAACACCTGCACACTGAGCATTTCCACCTGCTCAGAGCATTTCTTGCTGATTGGCTGTTGGGATTTAACTTGATTAACACCTGCACAGAGTATTTCCATACTGACAGTATGTCTTTATTCAAGTGTTTTGGTAGGTATTTCAAGCTTTTCTGCTCCAGCATTGGAATGCGGGGCATGAACGTTTTTTTTTTATTTGGAAAATCAACAGTTTGCATTATGCAATTAAAAATCCTAACCAATAAAGTAGGGAATAGCTATCCAACTGTTGTTTTAGTTGTATGTTACTTCATATTATAGTTATATCAATGTAAATCATTGTTTTCCCTTGTGTTTCTCATTCTTTCCCTGCCATGTGGTAAAATGTGGTGAACCCATCGCTGTATTTGCTCCAAAGCAAATATTGGCCTTTCTAGTTGTCATTGTCATTTATTTGCCACGACAGTTGCACTGCACAGCTCGGCATTACCTGGACGGTAAAATCCCCTGGGAGATGACATTTGAGGTGGACAGGTGGCCAGACTACACAGCCGTCCTGTGGCGCAGTAACAAGAACGACAGCTCTGCGCCAACTTTCACTAAGGTATTTGGCAAAATAAGTTAGTTCGCCGAGAATCCGACGTTTTAAGATCTGTGTGTTTGTGAACGGCATGGCCAAAAAGTTGTGGATGGACTTTTACGATATTTGGCATATTGGTGGGTATTGGGAAAATGAGAGAAAAAAAAAGAATAGACTATGAGCCACCTAGCAGCTTTCTAAGGTACAGGCACTGTAGTAGGCATCTTATGTTCTGACTGCTAAGGCCACAATTTGTCAATCTTGGGCAAAATTTACCATTTTGTAGATCGTGGGCAAAATGTACCATATTTTTTTTGTGTACAATTGAGTGGAATGATAGAATAATGTTATAGCCTTTTCTCTTTTTTAACTATTAGAATTATATATCTCTTCACTGGACCAATGACGGTGGACTTAAACAGTTATTAATATCAACATCTCTGGACTGGACCAAACCACTTTTCATACGTGGTATGTCAGAATTTGCCTTTTTAATACATACACAGCATATCATCAATGTATATATATAGAGAGAGATAGTATTTGAAATAAGAGTAGTAGCATAGCATTGTTTTAATAATTTAATATTTTTAGATTACGTCACGATAAGCGATGGTAGCTGATGAGTTGGGTGGATGATTGGGGCATTCGCTTATACAATGATTTTTTTTTATATCTGTCGACACTTCTTCCAGGGTTTCCCCCCAAAGGTTTATCCATACTAAGAGAACATCTGGAGAAACAGGGAGTTCCATGCCCTTCTGAGCATATCCACCCCTGTGACATCGGCTACTACCTGCACAAAACTTGTCCAAGTCTAGAGAGCATGACCACGTAAGTTTCATCTCAATTTTTCCCAACGCAAAAGGCTGCGAATCACCAAAATTTCAACCATTTCCCTTTGGCTGAGGACAACTCAGGACCCGGATGCTTTGCACACGTCACTTTCCGGAAATGTGACGTGTGCACCGGGTCAAGGGTGGTTGGAAGACTGTATCGGCCCCCGTCTCTGTTTAATGAAGGTTGATGTGTTCTGATGTATACTAGACTTCCACATTTGACCCGGCATTCACGTCATTGTTTCCTGTTATGGTAACAATACACCCTTCCTTCTGCCCAGGACTGACAACAAAAAGGTGACCATAGCCCCAGTCAAACCTGAGCACAGCCGGCTTGTCAGTAAGTCCTGGAAATTTGGAGGCACTCCCGCGGCTGATGAGTACTTGCACTATCTGGTCAGCACTTTCCCCTCGGCCTGTGTGTATGACCAAGACGGAAACCCTTTGTCGTGGATTCTCATGGACAACAGCGGTATACAAGTGCTTGGCTACACCTTACCAGATCACAGAGGAAAGGGTTACTATCAGCTTGCTTCTAGGCACCTGATAAGCGTCTGTCTAGAGAAGGGGTATCTGCCGTTTGGTTTCATTGAGGACTACAACGAGCATTCGAGGAACATCCACAGGAAACTTGGGTACACTTGGACGGAGGCAGGGAGGTGTATATACCTCACTCTCAATGGTTTCGTTATCGGATCCAGACTTTGAGTCCAGGACTTGTTGCTACCTGAAACCAGTGATACAAAATAGCCATTAATTGTTACAAGCAACACTTACAAGCATGTTATGTACACAAGTGGATGTCATGTTATTTCTTCATGGCTATCACAAATTTCGTTGGTCATTAAACATGTAAATTTGTCCATTCGTTCTGCAACCGTCCGTAATTTTTATGTAATACAGTATTCAGATTAAAAAAAAACGTGCGCTTTGAAACAGAGGTCCGATATCGTTGCTTAGACTTAAAGCCATATATAATATGAATCACAGAAAAGTCTCGTACACCGTCTGTATTACATGTACTATGTACATGTACTATATTACATGTATTATTTACATGTAATGTGGTACCCAGGCTAAGTCAATGCCGTAAATCGCAGTGAAATTGAGAATTGTGCTGCTTTAGTTGTATTCAGCCAATGGATCAATATTCATACTGCAAACACCAATCATTAATTAAACGGCCGTACAAATATGGGTTTGTGCCTCCCTTAATGTTGGGTTTGAAAGACGACAGATCCTCATAATAAAACGTTGTGGTAGTGTAGAGTAGCAGATCATAAAGTCTGTCGGTGTGGACAGGTTGCACGCCTTTTGTTTGCGCAGCTCTAACCAGGTGACGGCCTATTGCTATGTTATTCCGTCTCTTCTGTTTCCGAAATGGCCCCCAAACAAACAAACAAACGAACAGACAATCTATAACACAGGAGCGGTAGATAAAGGACCACCGGGCCGATGAACTGTGCCCTTTGACCGGGGTCAGTACGCACAAGGTTCACAGACTTGCCTAAAACACACACATTTACAAATGCGTCTGTCTTGCAACGTTATATGTGAACAACAACATAGGACTTGACTGGACAGGTTGTTCTTCGTCTTCTCATGCTCAGGATGGCCCGAATTTTGTCACGTTCGGAGCTCAGGCAGTTGGTGGACTCACTAGTGCTGGACTGGAGTGACATGGCGTCTCATACCAAAGCAATGGTAACGTTCATGTTTCCTTAAGCTTTATGCCTTGGTCAAAAGACAATGTAGAAAGCATTTTTCTTTCCAATTTTGGTCTTGGCCCCGTGGAACGTCCTATGGTTAATGGACTATTTTGGGAATCCAATTGAGTTAATAAATGATTTTAGTGATCCAAGTATGTTAATAAATGATTCGGCCCAGGTCCCTAAAATGGAGCAAACAGTTGTCAAACCAGTCTGTGAAAACAGGTTGCACTCTGTTTGACCCAGTATGGGTTGCTCTGGGACCAGTTTTTTAATAATCTTACAAAGAATGATAATAACAATGTGACGTTACCAGAAGTCAAGTTAAGTTAAACGCGTGAGGTTGCGAGTCCTAGCGGAAACCCGAGCAGATTTCAAGCGTAATTTGTCCTGGGGTACTGACCAAGGCTACAGGTACACCAAATGTAGGAGACTCTGTCTCTGGATCCAGAGGCCAAGAGTTTGTAACGTAATAGATGTTTTCTACCACAGTTACTCTTCACAACTCAGCATTACCTGGACGGTAAAATCCCCTGGGAGATGACCTTTGAGGTGGACAGGTGGCCGGACTACACAGCCGTCCTGTGGCGTGATAATGAGGACGACAGCTCGGCGCCAACTTTCACTAAGGTATTTGGTTAGTTTGCAGAGAAGGTTATGTTTTAGGGTCTGTGTGTTTGAGCATATGACTCCGAACCTTTATGATATGGTAGATGTGGGAGATGGCACAATGAAACAATTAAAAATGAATAGATTATGAGCCCCCTAGTGACTTTCTGAGGCAAGGCACTGTAGCAATATAATCATGATTCGTCAAGGATCGGTAGATCTCGAGTTATGTTTTCGGGTCTGTGAGTTTTCTAGTGGCTTTCTACGAGTAAGCTAAGGTGCTGAGTCAGGCATTCCGTTTCATACCTCGTGTTGACTGGCCATGCCATGGTCTGGGCAAAAAATACGGTTATCTTAATTCTCTTTTTAATTTTAATCTTTTTTTTTGGGAATACTAGAATGATATATATATTCACTGGACCAACGAGGATGGCCTTTGGCAGTTATTAATATCAACATCTGTGGACTGGTCCAAACCACTTTGTGTAATTGGTAAGTCTTATGATTTAACCATATATTTGTGTCTTTGTAGACCAGAAAGATTTAGCATTTGATATAATTAAATTAGAGTAGTCGCATGGCATTGTTTGGATTTTCCTTTTTTTTTATTGCGTTAGGTATAAGTAGCTGATGAGGATGGTGGTGGATGTTTAAGATATTCCCTTATACAATGTGTTAATAATGTTTGTATTCACTTGTCTGATATCTGTCGTTGATTCTTCCAGAAGTTCCCCTCAATGGTTTATCCATACTAAGAGAACATCTGGAGAAACAGGGAGTTCCATGCCCTTCTGAGCACATCCACCCCTGTGACACCGCCTATTACCTGCACAGAACATGTCCAAGTCTGGAGAACATGGCCATGTGAGTCTCATAAAAATGTTTCATCTTTCTTCCAACACAAAAGACTGTCACCATATTTTCTACCAAACCTCTTGTCTTCCTGAGGATAATTGAGGACCCGGATGCACACGCCACACTTTCCGGAAATGTAAGTATGCACCGGGTCAAAGGTTATTGGAAGTCTGTATCGGCCCCCGTCTTTGTTTTCTGATGTATATTGGCCTTGACCCGATACTCAAGTTCCCTATTAATATCATGGTAACAAGGTACTAACAACATATCATTCCAACTCCCCAGGACTGACAACAAGGTGACCATAGCCCCAGTCAAACCTGAGCACAGCCGGCTTGTCAGTAAGACCTGGAAATTTGGAGGTACTCCTCAAGCTGATGAGTACTTGCACTATCTGGTCAACACTTTCCCCTCGGCCTGTGTGTATGATCAAGACGGAAATCCTTTATCGTGGATTCTGATGGAAAACAACGGTTCACAAGGGGTTGGCTACACCTTACCAGATCACAGAGGAAAGGGTTATTTTCAGCTTGCTTCCAGGCACCTGATAAGCGTCTGTCTAGAGAAGGGGTATCTTCCATTCCTCTTCATTGAGGACTACAACGGGGTGTCGAGGAACATACACAGGAAACTCGGGTACACTTGGACGGAGGCAGGGAGGTGTGCATACATCGCTCTCAATGGTTTTGTCGTTTGAGTTTGTGTCCAGGAATTGCTGCTGGAAACCAGGGGCACAAAATGGCCATTGAATGTAACAACGCTTGCAAACAGTTTTTCATATGTACACAATTAATTGTCATGTTTTTATTTCATGGCCATCATACATTGTTGAAATATGGTAGACCATTACGATCTTTGTAAGTTGCCGTAAGATATACATAGAGTGTTTTGAAATGGACAATGTGCACGTTGAAATCATTATACAGTGTGATTCCAATTATTGTTGTTCTCATGAAAAAGGAAACAGGGATCCTCACTCTATCCCAAAACTAGTGATTTGTTTTTGGATTTTTTTCTGTAGTTATGTAACAAGAACAGACAATGTGACCCGTTGCGTCTTAAAGTTTTTGAAGTAGCTAGCTGCTCAGCAGTTGTTGTGTGTGTTGAATGTGACATGTCTGATAGAAATTGGTTAGTGTGCCACAGAGAAGTCTCGTTGCCATAGCTATAGTTTACATGCATACACGATCAGTATTAGTACAGATTTGGTGCATAATCATCCATCTTCTAGTCACTGCCATGAACAGAATTGAAATCGAGAATTGTGGTGTTGTTTTTTCACCTAAGTCTACACAGAATCCTGTCAGTGGATGAATACTGCAATCGCCAATCATTGAACGGCCCTACATATGTGGGGTCAAATGGGTTTACAATAAATGTTGGGTTTGTAAGAGGACACTCCCGTTATATCAGATACAGATCGTTGGTAGTAGACGACGTTACGCGAACCATATAGCCTGTCTGTGTGGATCAATCATTCTCCCAACCACTTATTTTTCTCTGACCTAATTGGTCTTTTCTGTTTCTGAAACGGCCCACAGACAGGCATATTAAAACCCAGCCCTTTGTTTGATCGGGGTCAATACGTTCAAAGTTCACTCGACAGTAGCCATTGCGAAGGGACCACACTACAAATACGTCTGTCTTGGGCAGATATCACAGTTACGGTTGGCCAAAGGAACGTATGGTTAAATACGAAACAAGTCCTCATGAAAGTACTCTCTCACTCTTCAATCTCAAATATTCTTTCTGCATCAGAGATCCACAAGAGCCTGTTTCCCAAATATAGAAAGATATACAGGGGGTTGTCCAGCTGAGCTCTGACAACAGCTGACAACAGTAAACAAACCCAGGCAGCCTTTAACTTTTGACCTAATTTTCTCATGGCCCTGGGCAGACAAGACCTCATCACTCAGGCGTCTCATTATGCCCACTAAACTGGGATATGACCAAACTAGGAAAGTTTAGACCCTACCTGTTCCTTTTTAGCCCCGAAGTCGTCAAACTGGACCGGAGGGTTCAAGAGAAAAAAGGATTTTCAAAGATAGTAACTAGGGAGTACAATTTTTTTGCCCTCCACTGCGCAACGCAACTGTGACGTCTGCCATCTTGAAACGTTGCATGTGAACAACGACGTCGGACCTGAATGGATTGATGACCGATTTTAAATTGTTCTTAGTCCGTTCATGGTCAGGATGGCCCGAAGTTTGTCATGTCCGGAGCTCAGGCAGTTGGCGGACTCACTAGTGCTGGACTGGAGTGACATGGCGTCTCATACCAAAGCAATGGTAACGTTCACGTTTCGTATATATATGCCTTGGTCTCACTCGCAACCAGGCTAGGAGCTTATTACATTTTTTCCATCAATTTCACACAAATGCAACTGCATGAGCGGACATATTAGATACTGAGAAGCTACATGCTGAATGACTTTCGGTTATTTGCCACTATAGTTACTCTGCACAGCTCAGCATTACCTGGACAGTAAAATCCCCTGGGAGATGACCTTTGAGGTGGACAGGTGGCCGGACTACACAGCCGTCCTGTGGCGTGATAACGAGAACGACAGCTCGGCGCCAGATTTCACAGAGGTATGTTATCTTTATCCTTACCTAGCACGACTCAAGCTTCATGATACCTGTTATGTTGTTGAATGATAAAAGATACAGATCGGTTATGAAAGAATAGATTATGAACTCCCTAGTGGATTTCTAAGGCAAGGCACTCATATATATATATATATATATATATATATATATATATATATATATATGGTGGCTTTCTACGGTGCTGAGTCAGGCATTCCTGATACATGTATTAGTCATAACTCGTGCTAACTAAGATAGAGTGATTTT